GAAGAGGTAAATAAGTAAATATAATTGTTGTTATCAATGTTTTATTGTTTATTTTTTATGATTAATCAAACTTTTTAATATTTCTATATATAAAAAAAATCAAAATAAAAATGATGCTTGATACAAATAGCTAAGCTTTGGTTCTTTTTATGATTTTTTAAGTCAATGTTTTATTTAACACTCTAAGCATTTTCAGAGTGCCTTGATGATATATATTTTTAAGTTAAAAAAAATCAAATAGACATTTGCATAAATGAAAAAAAAAGAAGCAAATTGTTCAAAAAATATCATGCTACCTTGTATGATTTGTTTTTTTAGGGAAAATATTGTAGAGTTTTACTTTGTAAGTTAACTTCTGTATGCATTTTTTATAGAGAGGTAAGTATTATATGTAGGAATGTAAGTCAAATTTCCTCCATATTGCTCTTGGTCGAGTTAAGGTTAAAGGTATAACCTTGATATAATATGTTTATCTTGAACAAACTTCATTGCATCTGGCTTCTGTCTTAAAAAAACCTTAAGCCAAAGACTTTAGGAGTAAATAAAAAATTTCCTTCGATCTGCATCAACCTCTTTTGGCATCTAACAAATAAAAATCTGTATTACAATCTGCCTAATAAAACAAATGTTGGATCTGTTTGACTCAACTCATTACTTATGCCTTCTTAGTTCAATTATTTTTTATGTCTTCTAGTTACGTAACTCAGTTTAATGATACTTATTTTGGCTAATAAGGTTTTTCAAAGTTCTTGGTAGCTCTTTTAAAAAGCTAACTCTATCAAAAGTTATAAAAAACTAGAACATTAACAGTGCATGAATGTGTCTTTTTTAATGCTTATTGTAAGACAACATAATGATTCTTATGTTGTTTGCTTAAACTGTAGTTTAATCACAATACTGTAGTGTACAATTCTGTAAATTTTTATTAATCTCTCTTTATATGATGTATCTATTTTTCAAAATTATTGAAGCATTCCTTTCCAACTGCAGTATTAAATTTGTCCATGATAAACAAATCATTCTTTCATTTGCAAGAATCCATCCTTGATCCTGTATTGTTTGTCATTTGTATTAATGACCTTCATAATACTTCTAAAGTGGTTCTATTTGTTGATAAACAACTTTACACTTCAGTATTGGCAAAAGTCAACCTTTTTTATTCACATAGAACAAGTCGCCAGTTTTGAATCTTATATCTATTAAGTACACTCTTGCTGAGAATTTTTGTCTTCTTTGATTATCTTTCACTAATGATCTAGCACGGAAACAAAATATACAATTATTTGAAAAGTTGGCCTCTATTAAGAGTGCCTTCTTTATATTGTGATCATCATTTTTTTACTGCCAATTTTGTTTGTTACCTAATTTCTTATTTACTTCTGTATGGAACATTTATGGCGGTTTTATAGTCTTTTTTTTATAATACTTTACCCGATCTTGAAACATTCATCATCAAATATACTTTTTAATATTCTTTTAGTCAAGAGTTAAAAAAATTATAAACTTGCTTTTTCCAGTATTATTCATTTCATTTTTGAGTTCTTTTCTGTATTTACTACTTACGATTTTTAAAATCAAAACTTATTAAAACATTTATATTATATTATAAATTTTTATATTACAACATTATTCAATCAATGACTGCTCCCCAACTGTACAAACGAGCTTGCTTTAAGTTATTTTCAACATGTTTCACTTAGCATACACTTTTGTGTTGCTACACATTTCATTTAGTCTTGACTGAAATGCATAACTTTTATCTTAAATCTCATTTTTTTCATTCCATATGCACATGACTTACCAGGAAGATGTTTAAGGCTGATGATCTTTTGAATGATTAAACTGATTTTTATCAGTCAAAGACTTATCAGAGTCTCACTAAGAAGAAACTTTAATTATTTTTACTAAGTAACTACTGATCTGTTTTTTATAAGTATTTGGCACTTTTTTGTGAGTTATTTAGTTCTAAGTTTGTAATTTTTAGTGACAAAATACTTTTTTTTAACCAATATAATTATTTAGCTATCAATGATAACTGCGCTAAAGGATGGACAAGTTATAGAAGACATTGCTATTATATTCGTAGTTTAAAGGAATTTGTTGGATATGGTTGGTCTGAATCTTTTTCATCATGTCAATCTAAAGGAGGGAATTTGCTAAGTATAGAAAATCAAGAAGAAAATCGATTCATTCAAAACAGTTTAATCAAAGATAATAGTGATTATTGGATTGGTATAATGCTTATATAATTCATACTTTATGTTGAAATGAGTTTTGAAGCATTATTCAATATAAATATTTCTTATAATAGGCCTATATAGACTTTGGAATTACAGAAGGTTTGTGTGGTCTGATAATACATACACACAGTTCTTTAATTGGATTGAAAATCAACCGGATAATGTTGATGGTATTGAGAATTGTGTAGAAATGAATTCCAATGGCTGGAATGACAAAGAATGCAATGTTCTAAATGGGTTTATTTGTAAAAATAAAAAAGGTAAACTAACATTTTAGCTTTTGTAAATTATTATTTTTGAAAGTCAACAATTATAAGCTTTTTAATTTTTAGTTGATTTTTTTCTTCTTTGATAAAATTAATTATATTCTCTCTCTATTTAATATCATTATTTAGATTTTTTATATATTAATTATATAATTTTGAATGTTTTAATGTAATTATTTTTATCAGCTATTATTAAGATTGAGTTGTTTACATTGATTTTAGGCAGCAATTATTTATGACAGAATTTATGATGTATTGATTTGTTTTAGTTAAGTTATGCACATTTTTAAACTTTTTAATTGAATTTTAAATGAATTTTAATTGAATAATAAACTTTTAATTGAATTTTAAATGAAGTAAATGCAGTTTGAATGCATTTCAAGTTTATTTATTATTTCTTGTCTTATTATTTTTTGACATCTTCTTTATAAGTTTTTTCTACTATTGTTTTTAAGGCATGTTTTTCTTGTACTAGTTTTCTTCTAAAAATATTCTACATCTAGCATCAACATAAACTGAAATATAATATTCTTAGTTTCTTCATGACAAATTGGACCTTTGCCAAAAATTAGATAATGTAAGTTTCTTTTAAAGGAACATGATTATCTAGCTACCAAGTATGAATAACACAGCACATCTGCTCGAAGTTAGTAGGCAACATTTTACACCATTATTGAGAACAAAAGTTAGATTTTTCCCAAATTGTTACACTTTTATCCCCATTGGTCATGTTTTTTTTTTTCATTTTTACTTCTTTTATTTTTCATCCTCTAAAGCCTGACCTGAACAATTTTGATTTACCTCTAATTTTAATCTAATTGTGTCTTTATCCTTGTTATTTTAAAGTAATTTACCATATGTATCAATAAGAAACACATTTTTTTAAATTTTAAACACCTTCGCTTCCAAGCTTCGCCAACAAGGCTGCAAGCAACCACTAATTATTGTTGGAAATTACTTGTTCAGAAAAGATGAAGATTGTGGAGCAAGATAACAATAGATAACAATTGATTGACGACTTAAAAGATTGCAAATTATATGAGTCAGGAAAGCAAGATGAAGGAAGCAAATTCCAAAGAACTGATGTAGGAGGAAAAAAAAATAGACAAATGAGAGTTTTTAGAGCACCTAGGAACAGTCACAGAAAAAGTATGAGACTTAATTGAATGACAAGTAACACAAGAATAAATTTTAGTAGATTGCACAAGAGATGCTTGTTCTTTTGAGCAGTGCCCATTATAGTATTTGTAGAAAAGAGAAAATGAAGCAACATTACGACGATGTGATAATGGTTGAAGTTTGGCTGCAAGAGCAGGTCCAACTATGTTTGCAATGCGCTTTTGCACCTTTTCTAAAAGAGAAAGAGCATCATTAAAAGATTTGCCCTATATATGGCATATATTCCATACTAGGCCTGATTTGAGATTTATATAGATAGAGAATAGATCCAGAATAAGAAAGTGTCAAGCTTGATAAAGAGCGACAACTTTAGCAGACGCTAATTTTGCAACGGATTTGATATATGGTTTCAAAGAAAGATTGGAAGTAAAAGTTAATCCTAGAAGATGAGGGGTAGATGACTCATTGAGTACTATACCGTTTATAAATATAGGAAGGTCTAAAGTATTGTGATAATAATTGGCTGAAAAAAATTGAATTAAATATCACCAGCTAAATTAAAGTTCACCAGCTACTGTGAGCCCCATACTGTATTAGAAGTGAGATCATTTTCAAGCTCAAATGCCCCTCCAAGCAAAAAGAGAGTGTTGGCTTCTTATTATGACAAGAATAAATGGTAGTATCATTAGCGAACTATGCCACCTATAGATGTGAGAATATCTAAAAGATTGTTAATGTAAATTAAAAAGTGTATAGGGCCAAGGATTGAACCTTAAGGAACCCTTGAGGTTGCAGAATAAGAAGAAGAATGCTATTCATCGAGGACAATATTTATATTACAATTGAAAAGGAAAGATTCAATAATCTTAAAGACATTGTCAGATACATCGTAAGAAGAAAGCTTATGGAGAAGACCAACATGCCAAATTTCAACATGCCAAAAATCAAAAGTTTTATAAATGTCAAAAACAATGTCCTTAACCTCTCGGCTTTTATCTAATGCATGATAAAACCTATAGAATATTACTGTTAGCAAATAAGGTGTAGAACCAGAAGATCGAAATCCATATTGATGATCAGAAAGTAAGTTATTAGATTCAAGATAAAAGATTAAGTGTTTGTTAATTAAATATAAAAAAAACTTGCTTATGATAGGGAAACAAATGGGATGGTAGTTAGACAAATCAGATCACTCTCCAGAATTTTCAAAATTAGGGATAACAGATGCCGTTTTCCAGCAGGCTGGAAAACAAGACTCTGATAAACAAATGTTAAATAGTTTTGAAAGTATAAACAACAGCTATGGAGAACATTTCTGCAAGACTTTAACAGGTATGCAGGCTTGGTCGGAATGTGGGTGCAATCATACTTGATAATTGATCACCAAAATAATATTTAGTTATAAAAAACCAGCCAGATTTTTTAGTCGTTTTAAGAACATTTAAGTTTATACATGCTTCCTTGTTTGTACGCAAAATAATATTTAAGTTCATTATTATATTGTAAATTTTAAAATATTTTGTTTTACAGACATACATGGAAACATACATAAACTCGAATGTTCTCAAACATCTTTGTGTGTAAAAATAAAAAAAGAATATTCATAAACACAAAAAACCCGCCAAATCTACAAACAATTAATTCTATTGGTTCAAAAATTACTAATCGAAATTTCTAGAATATTCAAAAAATACTAAACAAATGTTCTAGAGTATTCTGTTGAAATATTTTTTAAAATTGTATTATTTGAGTTTTGTTATGTTTTCGTTGAGATTTCTAGCATAAATTGTTTTAAGAATATACTATCAAAGGAACTATTATTTTAATACTGTGGTTCATTTTCAGAGCCACATCTACAAAGCTATAAATGTTTTAAACTAGAATTATTTGTTTACAAAAATAAATATTTTGAAATTTATATTTTTTTACTTGTCAACTTTTTTTAAATAAATTATAGGTTTTATTAGGATATTCTTATTTTTTAAATATGAGGGTGTATTTTTTATGTATGTAAATTTATGCATGTGTATTTTATTCAAATGTAATCTTTTAAATTTCTGCAATTGATTTTGTAAGTAGTAGGAAAATGAGAGTTCAGAGGGATTTTTTATTTTCAACCAAATTTTCAACCATAAATTAATATTAATATTGAGGTTAACATTGAACCATGTTGTATATAATTTATTTAGATAAGAAATAATTTTTTATTTTAAAAAAAATTGATTTTTTAAAATAAGTGTTAAATTTTATTTCTTGTTATGAAATATTACGAAAAATTCTTAAAATGACGTGACTTTTTCCTGCTTCTTATTTACACCCTAATTCATGCAAGTATTTAATTAATTCAAGGTTGCCATTTTCAACAGCTTTTTCAAAAGCTTGATTAAATTTAAATTCTGAAGCTCTGTACCCTAATTCATGCAAGTATTTAATTAATTCAAGGTTGCCATTTTCAACAGCTTTTTCAAAAGCTTGACCAAATTCAAATTCTGAAGCTCTGTACCCTAATTCATGAAAGTATTTAATTAATTCAAGGTTGCCATTTTCAACAGCTTTTTCAAAAGCTTGATTAAATTCAAATTCTGAAGCTCTATACAATAATTCATGAAAATAATTTAGCAATTCAAGGTTGTTATTTTTAACAGCTTTTTTAAAAGCATCATCAAATGTATCTTCTGAAGCTCTGTACCCTAATTCATTTAAAAACTTCAACATTAAAATGTTGTTATTTTTAGCAGCTATTTCAAAAGCATTATCTACACTTTGTTTTTTTGATTGGATTAAATATTTAATCAAGTCAATTTTTCTTATTTTTACAGCAAAATAAACTTTATTACCTTGTTTATACCCATATTTTTTTAGATAATCATTTAGATCATCATCAATCATACCATTTTTATCTTCATCATATTCATCATATTCATCATCATTCATGTTATCATCTTTATTAATCATTTCATTTTCATTATATTCATCATCAGTAATTTCAATATCATGAATATCAATAATATTTAATTTTTCTTCAACTAATCTTAATCTTTCATTTATTGATTTTAATAATTCTTTAATATTATTTTCCATTCTTTTTATATATAAAAGAAAATTATTTAACTCATTTTCAAAATTTTTTTTTATTTTTAATGCGCATGCCCTAGTTCTTATACATAGTAGTCTCATAATTAACTATATCCAACAGAACGTAAATATTCAATTACTTCAGTGCGGCCATAGTATTCAGCATAATTAATTGCATCTTTTGTACCTTTATACCCTAATTCATGTAAATATTTTACTACTTCAAGGTGACCATTTTCTGCAGCATTATTAATTGTCCATTTGTCACATTTATACCCTAATTCATGTAAATATTTTAATACTTCAAGATGACCATTATTAGCAACACAATCAATTGTCCGATGTGAACATTTATACCCTTTTTCATATAAATATTTTACAACTTCAAGATGTCCATTTCCAGCAGCATCAATAATTGCCAAATTAGAACATTTATATCCTTTTTCATGTAAATACTTTACAACTTCAAGATGACCGTTTTTAGCAGCACCTTCAATTGCAAATCCATCTCCTTTATACCCTAATTCATGTAAATATTTAATTACTTCAAGATGTCCATTTACAGCAGCTTTATTAATTGGATAAAGCTGCTTACATTCATATTCTTTTTCATGTAAATACTTTACAATTTCAAGGTGACCATTTTTTACAGCACCTTCAATTGCATCTTCTGTTCCTTCATATCCTAGTTCAATTAATTGTTTTATCCAATCAAGTCTATTATTACTTGCAGCAAAGTCAACTTTATTACCTTTTTCATACCCATATTTTTTTAGATCAGCAGTTATAATACAATCTCT